CTGCATTAATACTTCGTTCGAGTCGATCCCAGTCTTTTGAATTTCATTAAGTTCAGTCTCAAGATCTGTAACCAAATTTTAAAGGTATAACAATTTTGTATGGTTTCTCTAGGGTCCTTGACTAAGCTGTAAGATACTAACCTTTATTACACAATTCTGGCTCCTCAGGCAAAATAACTTGAACTTCAGCAAAATTATGCCTCTCTAAGCTATCTGGGGCAACACTGTCACTGTCAAAATGGTTGAAAAGCCCAACAGCACTTGTTTTAATTAATGATATGATTTTGGAATCTAGAGGATCTTCTTTCTTTGGATTTGTTGGTCCACCACCTAAAATAGACAAAATTATTAAAGTAAAAGTATTTAAAGTATGCCATTTCTCACATTTTCAAAATATTTCTAACATAAATAATAATCCCATTATGTAGGAGACAAAGGAAATAAATCACTTAATCAGCATTGTACTATCAAGTGCTTAATAATAATGGTACATTGAACACCTAAAGATCTTTGGGATAAGCATGTTCCCAGTAGTGGCTAACACTATATAAATGTATGTAGGCATATCTCAATCCACTGCTCCTCCAGTTATAAGCTCATAGTTACTCCTGTCCATATTTCTAATGTATACCAAAGATTTATAGGTTTTTAGCCTAAATAACTGTATCAACACAAACATTGATAAGGTAAGGCAGGATAAAAACTAACCTGTTTGGATTCTATGCATCCTCCTGTATGACTCCTCCTTTTTGGCCTTTTTTTTTCATATACTCCCACTCATTTTTTAAATTTTCTGCTGTACGCGAGCAGTGTGTCGTTTGGCTATTGTATTCGTGGGATAAAATTTGCCATTCGGCAAATTTTTGCTTCATCGTAACACCATCTGTTTTTTTATTTTCGATGACACGAAAATGTTTTTCTACGAGTCCTAACAACAAACTCTTTTCCGAAGGTAACCAATTTGGGCTACGTTTTCTTTTTTCTGCAGACATTTTATTTGAAAATATAAGAAATAAGGGTAAGGTTAGAATAATCAACTGACAAGTCGCGTGTTAATTTTAATGTTTGTTCAGTGACAGTGACAGTTGACACTATTATAATCCGGCAAACTTTAAATAGACAGAAAGTCTTGCATTGCGCTATATAAACAAATGTATTTCGATTTTAGTTGGCTTACAAGTTCATTCATTTTTCATTCCCCAACTCTAGAGTAACAATACCCAGTATTGGCTACTCTCCGTTTGTGTTGGAAAAACACAAACCAAATTATCCGAGAGTAAGAACAAGGAGTAAATTTATTCGAGGGTTAGTTACTCTGGAGTAACATTGAATTTGGTCGAATCCGCCCTAATTCACTTAATTCCGCTCCGAAGCTTCGCTTGTGTCGCTGAGTTCAACTCTGCCCCGATCGCATCTCGCAGCGCCTATTTATATAATTAGCAAAGAAGCGTCCCGAACATTCAAGTAAATGCACGCCAGGCAACGAGTATTCGAGTGTAGATTTTCCAGAAACTTAGTTCTTCGGGTGGCGCTGTCGGTCGAAAGATTTGTGATGTCATTTACTGCAAAGCTTCCCTCGCTCTCGTTCTTGACACTAGATGGCGCTAGTTGACTTATTCATGCCACACTGCCCCCTCCTAAGACATGCTCGTCCCGAGCATTATCGGTCCCATAATAACGCGCCAAGCGATCCACATGGACGATCTTAGGAGTCCCTCTTGCGCCTTTCTCATCGTTGATCCTGGTTATAATCCGGTACGGGCCGTCCCATTTAGCTTGAAGCTTAGGAGATTTCCCTTTGCTGCGGACTGGATTGTGCAACCACACTAATGAACCTTCGTTGAACCCTTTATTGTTCATTTTGCGGTCGTACCGGGTTTTCATTTTCTCAGACATTTGCTGGCCCGATTGTCTGACGTGCTCATAAATGTCATTCATTTTGTTCCGCAAGTCATTTGCATAATCGGTTATACTGCGTGGGGCATCAGGTGGTATCCCGGTGATCAGGTCCGCAGGCAGCCGTAATTCTCTTCCAAAGTTTGCGAAAGCTGGTGTCACTGCTGTACTTTCTTGAACAGAACTTCGATATGACAACAAAAACGGTTGTATGTGCTTGTCCCAATCTCGTTGCCGATAGTCTACAACTTTTGCTAGGTACCTCTCCAATGTCTGATTAAATCGTTCCACCATTCCATCAGATTGCGGGTGATAAGAAATCGTTCTTGTTTTATGAGTACCCATAACTCGGCAAGTTTCCTGGAATATTTGAGACTCAAAATTCCTTCCTTGATCGCTGTGAATCTCTAAAGGTACTCCAAAACGACAGAAGACTTCATGAACTAGTTTATCTGCAACTGTTGAAGCTTCTTGATTTGGAATGGCGAAGACTTCTGGCCACTTAGTGAAGTAATCCATCACAACCATGAAATACTTGTTACCGCTTTCACTCTCCGGAAACGGCCCCGCCACGTCAATGGTTATTCTCTCCCATGGTGCACCCACATTGTACAACTTCAATGCACCTCTACTACGAGTCTGAGGTCCCTTTACAGCCACACAACTTGTACATTTGCGACACCAGTCCTCGACATCGTTTCGACAGTGGACCCAGTAAAACCGTTCTCGGATCTTCAGTAGAGTTCGTTTAACTCCCAGATGGCCTCCTGAATAATCATTATGGTACAGCTGTAGAACATCCGGTACTTTAGTTTTAGGCACAACCATTTGTAAATGACAGCTGTCTCCCCGAACATTTTCCCATTTACGGCACAGAACTCCATCCTGAAGCAGCAAGCTGTCCCACTGGGCCCAATAGCTTTTAGTGGTTGAACTCATTGCTGAGACGTCGCTCCACTTAGGCTTGGGAGCACTGGCCTTCATCCATTCCAGGATCGGCTTGATGTCCGGATCTTCCTGCTGTGCACGTTGAAAGCTGTCCTTCCACTCGTTGCTGAGGTGGTCTGCCCTGAGCATCCTCACGGATACCACTTCCTTACTCTCTTGCCTAGTACAATGTTTGCAATCTTCAGGACAAGGTCTTCTTGATAATGCATCTGCGTTGCCATGAGATTTCCCGCTGCGATGTTCGATCTCAAAGTCGTATTCCTGCAGTAGTTCAATCCACCTCGCAACTTGTCCTTCTGGATTTTTAAACTGCAATAGCCATTTTAGTGCAGCATGGTCAGTTCGTAAGTGAAATTTTCGTCCCAGAAGATATTTGCTAAAATGCTGCAACGACTTTACCACAGCGAGCAATTCGCGTCTTGTGACACAATAGTTCCTTTCCGGTTTTGACAACGACTTGCTGAAGTACGCTATCACGACCTCTTGGTCACCATTCCGTTGTGACAACACACCGCCAAGTCCTATATCACTTGCGTCTGTGTCAACTATAAATTCTTTGCTTGCATCAGGGTATCCCAAAATAGGTGTTTTGCACAGACGGTCCTTGAGCTCCTGGAATGCGATACTGCAACTTTCATCCCAGCAGAAATGTCGCTTCTCCTCGGTTAGCTTGTGCAGAGGTTTGGCTATATCTGCAAAGTTCTTCACAAATCGCCGGTAATAGGAGCACAAACCCAAAAATGCTCTAACCTGCGTCTTGTCTCTTGGAACCGGCCAATCCTTGACAGCGGCGATTTTCTCTGGATCTGTGCGGATACCTTCTTCCGATACCACAAACCCCAAAAAGTTAACTTGCCGTTGGAATAGGGAACATTTCTTCGGGCTCAACTTGAGGTTGGCACTCTGAATCTTCATGAGCACGCGTTCCAGGTTTTGAAGGTGTTCCTCAAACGTACGGCCTATGATGATGTCATCCAAGTAGACCAGACAGGCATCGCCAATTAGCCCGGTAAGTACAAGTTCCATCAGCCTTTCAAACGTTGCTGGAGCATTGCACAACCCAAACGGCATTACTTTAAATTGCCACAGACCCTTTCCCGTCGAGAACGCAATTTTCTCCTTGTCCTTAGGGTCAATTTCTTGACCGTCAAAAACTTGCCAGTAGCCACTTTTTTAGATCCAGCGTGCTAAACCATTTTACTCCTGTAAGCATGTCCAGCGTGTCATCAATTCTTGGCAAGGGATACCTGTCCTTCTTCGTAACATCGTTCAGACGGCGGTAGTCAACACAAAACCGCATGCTGCCATCCTTCTTCTTCACCAGCACCACTGGTGAACACCATGGACTAGAGGAAGGTTCAATAATACCATCGTTCACCATTCCTTCAATCATGGTTTCCACTTCCTTTTCACGTGCTACCGGCAATCTTCTTGGCCGCTGACGGATACGATTACTAAAAATGTCAAACTAAATTTAGAAGTTTTTTTTATAGAATTAGAGTGACAAACGAGCACACAGTCCACCTGATAGTAAGTGGATGCTGGCCTATAGACATCTACATTTATCTTCAATTAATAATCAAAATTATGTAGATGCGTTGCCAGCACAGAGGACTGAGATGGAATGCATCGTTTCCAGTAAAAAGGGTCTCTGGTTATCTTCACTCACCATACGAAACATAGCAGCATTAAGCTGCTATTTTACGCTGGTATTCTGTGAGAATGTAGTCCTTTCCCGGTGGGCCGACCCTTTTGTTCTACAACCATAATATAGCTGCTGCGTAGCTCTAACACGTATAAAAAAATTGAGAATAATTTGAATTTTTTTGCGTGGGAGAAATATTATCAGTGCGATAAGCTCTACACTGCATTCATCTAACGCCATCCTAGCGTGGTAAACTTGCTGATAAGTGAGATATTTTTATAAAAAATTTTAAAGCAGCGGATCATGAAAATACTAATGATGATGGATATTTCATCATCTAATGTACAGTTCGAAAATTTTCGAGTATCTTACTACTTACTTTACTGAATATGATAATATTACATATGGACAATTAAAGGCTGTATGAATATTAAAAAGGTTTTATTTATCTCAATTAAATAATCTAACATATTTTAATCTAAACTCTTTTATTAATTGTATGTAATGTAAATTATATAACTGCATGTCTGGGATTTATTCTTTCTTCAAGTCTCTGTAACAAAAGAAATGTTTAAAAAATAAGGAAAGAATTTAAAATTTAAGTTAGACAGATACATATACGGCAGTCGTGCAATTTGCGTCAAGATAGCGACAACAGTGTTTCATATTTGCATACTTCTATATCGGAGATTCGCATCATTTCTTCGATTCGGGAGAAGACCTGGTAACGTTAAAGCAAGTACTTCTTTATTGAACGGGTGATATGCTAGCTTTGGTACTAAAGGTTTAGGTGTCTAAATTGTCACCTTCGTTGACACGTTTTGAACACACCTTCATTCTGGAATACCTAGATGCTAGAAGACGAGGTAAGGAATCAAGTAGTATTCTATGTAAGTATATCAAAAAAAGCGACTGTTGCGATCGGCAAGCAATAAACACCTCAATGCTTTGTTATGTTATGGCGTACCATATATCATGAGGTCTTTGAAAGTAGTGGGAACGCATTAATTGTATCTATTTTGTGATTTCTCCATTATTAAATAGTTAATACTTCAAGGTATTCACCCCTAAGGGTAGAAAAATAGCGGATTAGGTTATTAACGTAACTATTTAGACGATAATATTCTAGTTGTCACCTTGAACTTGTGATATTCTTTAGTCCACTTAAAACGATACGAAAATATAACTTAGAAAAAAAGAAGTTGATCTGAACTCAAGCATTGAAAAATAATAAAAAAATATTACTTGCTTAAAGTGTTTTTCAGTTCTAGAAATATATTTAAACTCATTACAATACCATTATGTCTAAAATATGGAAATAAGAGGTAGACAAATCTAAAAACTAAAAATTAGCGGGCATTCGGGAAGTCGGAAAGGCCAAGTTTCTAAAGCATACCATAAAATATCTAATTTAAATAAGTAGAACTGACAATTTCCACATAATAAAAAAAAAAACAATGTGTCTTATCACCGACATCAGAAGCTAATAAAAGTTAAAGCTGTAGACACAGGGCTCGTCTTATTTCTGAGATGGTTCAGAGAATCAAAATCTATTGTAAGGAAATTGTTGTATTCTTTTTTGATTTGGGAATTGAAAAATTATTTATAAACATAAAAAAAACTAAAAACTTATACAATTATTGGGCGGTTTCCCATTCACTGGCAAGGCACGACGCCGGAGCTGGCAACAGCCCAGCTGCCGGGAAAGTAATAATGTATAAAATGTACGAACTATGTATAAATATGTAGCATGTGTTGCCTCTTACTGGCTTCGGCACAGCAGTGACTGCCTTCGGTGCCGTCACCGGTGCCGGGACAACAAGCTTCCCGCTCCTTGCCGGCCAGTAAAACTGTATGTGTATTGTGTACGTATTTTAGCCATGTGCGTGTGTGCGTGTGCGCGGGCCGAAGTAGGAGGAACGCATTGAGAATGAGAATGAGACTTAAAATTGGATTATGTAACGATGAAATGTTTCACTATTCACTTGAAATATTTTTGGAGTTTATTTTCACTTTTTATAATAGGGTATTATATGTTCCTTCTAAGTATAGTTTTTAAGATTGCACGAATTCAAATTTGACTTTTCTGCGTTGCTCATATTTTCATCACAAATGTAATAGATATAAAAAACAAATACGACGGCTTGACGAGAGCATTTTACATGTTGTAGAACTGAAGTCAGTGTTAGTACTGACCAAAAACCAATCGTAGACCGTCACCGGCGCGCCCATTTTTAGTTTTTGAAATCGGTTTAAACTTTTTATTTAAGTTTAACTTTCAAAATACTGATTAAAACTACTTTAACGGATTTTATCGCGTTTATTTTACTTTTAATTACTTATCCTCCCCCGTGACCATGGGTTGGCTGGAAAGGGACCGAAACGTCGGGAATTAAAAATAAAAGTAATTAAAAGTAAAATAAACGCGATAAAATCCGTAAAAGTAGTTTTAATCAATGTGTAGTGTTCGCATAAATATAAGAAATCATTATTTTTCAAAATACTTATAGTTTTTGTATAACATTAAATGTCAATGTAATATACGTATTTTTTAATACGGGATGCGGACGTTCCCCAGATGACGTTTGTGTCCTTTGAAAGTCACCTCATTGCCATTCATCGGAAATGTTCTACGCGTGAAGTTATTTCCATCCTGTTCTCTAAGATCAATATATGATGCATACGAGAATGAATTAAGACTAAGATGAACTCGAGTGATAAAAACAATAAAATTAAATGTGAATGTTAAAACACTATATATACGTTGCGCTAGTATCAAGGAATTCCTTTAATTTCCTTCCTTCCGTACAGACTTTAGATGTCACAATATTTCGATTATTTTGCCCCAATTAAATTAAAATAAGAAAAATACTCCTCTAATTTTTATTTTAAGAAATACCAAGTAGCAATATAGTGCTTAAGTAATAGCACTATATTGTTTAAGCATTTTAAGTTTAAGGAGTGTATTGTTTTACGCCGCTTAATTGTAATAATTTTTATATCTATAATATGTCACGGTTTGCCAATACAAGATTTCCGTCGATGTTCACGAGAGCAGAGATCTATTAAACTTTGCTTAAACTATTATGCTGTAGCCATTTCGCTTAACCCGTTACGGCTATAGCAGTAAGATTACTTACCTCAACATAAATAGGTTGTGACTCTGTACCACTTCTAACTTCTTCTTTTTTGCTGATATTATTATTAGCTAGTAGCCATAATACCGGGTAGTCTTTTGCGGTCTCTGTGACTCTCGCTCTTGAATTCATAGGTGGTGCTAATACTGGTAAAACTAACTCTATTCGATCACTAGAAGTTACAATTTCCGTACTAGAAATATTAATTAGTCCGAGTAAAAGCATTATAGGCAAGGCGTTTGTTACTTTTACGAAACTCATCATGTCTAAAACAGAATGTTGTTGTAAGTATATAGGAAGCTTTTATATACCTTTGTTAAGAATTAAATAGCATCACGACTGGCAAATTGATGAGATAAGCGTGCAACATTCCGTTATGAGTCCTTGAAAAGCTTGATTCGATATAAAGTTAAAATTGATCGATTAAAATTGCACATACTTTTCTGTCGCAAGGAAAAATTCTTTATCTTTGATCACAGTGCTCAAGTTAGTAACAGAGGAAGAGTATTATTCTTTAATGTCATTAATGCGTTATGCGAATAGAATATCAATTAAGCAGTGACTATATAATCCGTAATTACTACAGTATTAAACAACAAACTCGACTCATCACACATCGACATGTACATCTAACGATTATAAATCATTGCAAATGTTTCTTAGTACTATTTATACGTGTAAACTGAGCATAGATGTTAATGCAAATTAATTTTTTGTTATTAATAGTGAATAATTAATTTCGTCTTTTAACTTTGAACGTCTCTTAATGCCTTTCTTAATGTTGTGTTGATGATAAATCATGTTGATAATAAATCATTTTTATTCGATGACCTCTTTGACTTATTTTTTTAATACTAGCAATGTTATTAACGTTACTTCCGCATGCTTATGTTAGGAGTAGTTCACGACAGTAGTCGTATGGCGGATTCAAACCCTTTGAGTTCGTGGCCCGCACTCTGCCATAAGGCTACTGTCACTTGTGATAAAAAAGGAGGTAAATCAATTTTATCATTACATTTTTATATTAAGTTATGAAGCCTTACTAACTTAATGTAAGTCAAATGGTGATCTATAGTTCGAATAAAGCCGGAAGTCAGAATATGAAAGAATATAGAAAATATGGGTAGTATTGCCTAAGTGTGTCCTTTAAACTACACTCGTACTATGGCTTTCGGCTATCCAGACTGTACGAGAACGGATAGAATTGTAAGTGTAGTATTTTGGGAAGAACTCATATTGACTATTACAGTTAACAACGGAATAAATAAAAATCGTCGAAGAGTATTATTGCCAACACTTATAAATTACATACTTTAAACTCGATGTATGCTTAACAAAAGAGAAAGGAGAGGAAGAAAGAGAAATAATAATCAAAGCTTTGGTTTTGTAATGAGAGGATCTACGAGTAGCGCTACAGTATTATGGTAGCAGCTCGAATGGTTGGCTTGACCGTAAAATGGCCAGCATTGCACAGATTAGCAGCGTGAAATAGTAGCAGTAGCACAATGCTGCGTGTGGCACTTGTTGAGAAGTGGTAATCATTTTATAGGTAAGGAGGCATTCAAAGACAACAACATACATATCCGCATTTCTAATTTTACTTGTGGAAAGATAAGGGATGGACCATTATATGAAGTTGTTTGTTTCAGAAGTTAAATATGTTATTAATTTGATAAAAACTATGTTTTTTTTTTAAATAGAAAAAGGGTGACAAACGATTACACTGTCCATCTGATGTAAGTGGATGCTGTGGCCCATAGTCATCTGCATTTATGTTCGATTAGGAATCAAAACGCAGATGCGTTGTATCCCCTAAGGACTAAGATGGAATGCCTCGTTTCCAGTAAAAAAGGGTCTTCGAAGGACTTTGGAAAAATTTAGTAGACTGTAGACAAGCTAGGGAGGCCCTGCCTGAAATAAACAGTCGTCTAGCCAAGGTTCTAATGAGACTGAAAAATCCCCAGATCAGGATAGTAACAAGTGCTATCACAGGACATGGCTCTTTTAACAAACATTTGTTCACCATAGGTGTTACTGATAGCCCCCTGTGCAAGGCAAGCATGGTACAGGAAGAAACGGCGGCCCACGTGTTGCTGACATGTCCAGAAGTCGCTTCAACGGGCTAAACATTTCGGCACGCCGGGATCGCTCCCCGAAGTTGCTTGCAACATCAAAGGACTGTTTAACTTCTTCGGGGAAAGATCATGGCTCGAATAACCACCCGAAAAATACGCGCTTAGACATGGAGTTACGGAAAACAGTTCGTCGTGAACTAAACTAAACTAAACTAAGGGTGACAAACGACTACGCGGTCCACTATGCAGGTGGAGCAGTGTAGTCAATCAAAACGCAGATGCGTTGTCTCCCTCCGACTAAGATAGAATGCTTCGTTTCCAGTAGAAAAGGATCTCCGAATCTCTACACTCACCGTACAAAACACATCAGTATTAAGCTATCATTTTACGTTGGTATTCTGTGGAAGCGTGGTCCTACCCCGGTCAAGCCGACCCATTCGTGTTACAATCTTAACATAGCTGCAGCGTGGTTGCACGTATGTTTGGGACGTTACACAAACAAATGTTACTCAAGAATTTGCTATGGCATTCTATCAAAACATGGTAAGAATACGGCGTAGTGTAGTAATTTAAATAAAACCCAAAAACAATTCAAAGCTAATAATGTAATGTTTTTTATTGTTTATCTTATTTTCAAAATCGTAATGATGGATTTGATAATCACTCATCAAGCTGAGTTTAGGTAATTTTTTTATTGATTTATTTAGAGTGACTAGTGTGCTTGCATTTATACTGTTTTCACTTCCCTTTCACTATCCCATATTGCCCCGTGTACGACACCCAGGAGAAAACAGATGAAAACAAATCAAGAGGCGGCAGCATCTTCCTCATGACGACTAAAGATTAAAAACTGCGTTTGCCATTGTCTGGTATATTCACATGTCTATTTATTTACTTTTTATTTTATCTTATTTTACTATTAATTTTTTTACTAAGCTGTTTGTTAGAATTGTCATACACCTGTCGTAGTTTCTCAAATCACCCAGGGTTGAGAGGTAGAGAACATCGTAATGCATTAAGTCCGCTTTTTGAACCGCTGTTTATAATAAACATTAAATAAATAAATCTTTATTGTGTGTAGCTGTCATCAATTTCATAGAAGAGTTACATTAAAAAAAATTGAAATAATCCATTACAGCAACTAATCATAAATTTACTTCAATTTTTTTTAAAGGCGCAAATGAAGTGGTTTATCAGCTTGCCGCTTCGTCGGTCGTCGGTATGTTAGTTGTTTGTCCGGTCTGCGACTGGGAAATCCACTGTAACCTTGCCTCCGTGACACGCGAAACAAAGGCACTTAGGTGTACGATCAAAGAAAATAATATGTTGTTATGAATTATGATACATGGTGATGACAGACTCAGTGGGTTGTTACTTCTTTGGGAATTACGTTTTAAAGCAAGTTTTAGAAAAAAATATTTTCGTTAAGCCAGTTTAATATTTTATGGCAGTACTAAGTGGTCAATTCGCTTATATAACTTTATATTATTTTTTTTAAATAGATCTTATTTATGAGTGTAATAAAAGCTTTGTTTACAAATATCGCAAATACACATAAATTTAAATTCAATATAAAATTATATAAATTATAACTTGTGTTACCTTTGTCGTGAGTGTATCAAGATGACGTTTTGTCATGTTCTTCTAAGATATCTCTATGATACTTCTGAAGTTGAGAGGTATAGTTGAGTATTTTGTACAACAGGACTTGGTCTGAAATATTCTCCAGTCATTAAAATATTCATTTGAGATCCAAAAGGCCGTAAAAATGATTCCGTTGTTGTGGCTACGTTAGTCGGTGATATAGCTTTGTGTCCCAACGAACCTTCTGAGAAAGGATTTTCTGGCACTTTCGGTTTTCCTTGGGAGTAATTTCTTTTCGGCCAAGTGTACCCTAACACCGGAGTTGGCTGTATTCTTTGATTGTAGAATACCGCAGATGTATTTTGCAATGGAAACACTCTCCAAGCATCGACATAGACTAATATAAAATATATGACAAACACAATTAAACAATTCCCTGACATTTTGTTTCTCGAAACACTTATGTTTGACTTTTAACGTATAAGAAATTTATTGTATTTGATCAGGCTTGTAAGTTCGACTTCTATCTGACGAATGGCGAAGACTGCATAAAAGAAAATTACAACATGAAATATCCAGTTTAAAGTTGAGCTGTTGCCAACTAAAAAAGTGTTGTAATATATAAATTATTGATTATATATTATATCAAGTTTTTGAGTAGAATAATGTTATGCAGTAGTTTGATGATGTCATAGTTGACGTGTGCGGTATTTCTAGATAAATAAAAAGGTAGTATTATGATATCAGATAGATTTGCTCATTGCATACAAATCAACAGCGGTATTGAATTCATCTGGTGTATCTATTTCACTTTACCTTACCTTTACACTCTACCAAAATTCCACTTTTGAATTATTCGGTCCGATCTCTGATAAAATATTACCAAGTAAAAAATATGTGTGTGCATTCATACTATCCATACAGTCAAATTTCGCTTGAATCCCATTCCAATAATATAATAAACCAGACCGAGATCAGACCGAGAACGATCTGTAAACGGTATCTTTCTGATAACATTACAAACGTAATAGTATATTGGTTCAGATAGAAACTGAACCAATGTATTGGTTCAGTTTATATCTGTCACCTATTACGACACCCGTGGCATGATATGGGGTAGTGGATATTGTTTTATAATATAATCGCAATACATCGAGGGCAAATCTTCCATGAATTAGGTATTATTATGGACGACAAAATCTCGCTGTCATCCAAAAGCATTTCGCAGTATAGGCTTTATATATAGAATTAATAAATCTTTAAATAGGAGTATAACTTCAGCTTTATAATAATAATGGACTCCAGACCGAATTTCGGTCACGGCGGGCTGCCACAACGGATACTAGCCTTCGGCGCAGGACAGGATTATAGTACCCAAGTGTATGCTATGCTATTGTACGTGGTACAGCCATGCTGCAGTTATATTAGTAGTATAGTTGTAGCACGAATGGGTCGGCTCGACCGGGGAAGGACCACGCTCTCAAAGAATACCAGCGTTAAATATTAGCTTAATGCTTAATGTGTTTCGTATGGTGAGTGTAGAGAACCGGAGACCCGTTTTGCTGGAAACGAGGCATTCCATCTTGGTCCTTACGGGTGACAACGTATCTGCATTTTGATTTGTAATCGAGGATAGATGTAGATCTCTTTGGGCCGCAGTAACCACTTAACATAAGGTGGACCGTGTGCTCGTTTGTCACCCTATCCTATAAAAAATGCGCAAGCACACGTTCACTCTTTATTCCCTCACTTTTATAATCCGATGGGACAGTAAACCAACACGACCGGAGAGAGATCAGGCGCAGGACCAACGGCTTTACGTGCTTTCCTAGGCACGGGGGTTAGACACCGCCAACTTGGTGACTCTTGACTGTACTGAGAATATCTTGACGGAAAACTCAATTATTGATTCTTTGGCCCGACCCGGGTTTCGAACCCAGGACCTCATGATCAGCAGTCGCACTACTACAACCTCTAGACCAAGGAGACAGTCAAATAATTTACACTTTAGCTGCGTCAGATCAATTTTAATCTTTAGATTCGTTGTGTGGTACATTTATTACAAGCATCATAATCATCGCATTGAAAACGTTCAACAAGGTTTCGCAAAATATTGATAATAATTTAAGTTCTATAGAGTATCCTTTGTATAATTAATATTATAATCTCTTAACCGTAGTAAGAATTTAGGCTTAGTAACTTAATTTAAAAAATCTAACGATGAAATTGCCTTCACTTTCATCAAAGATTGAGAAATTCCTCACTAAGGCACCTCGTCTTCCTGTTCGTTCTTCGAGAAAACTAAAATAAAGCACCGAAAAGTTAAAATATTTTTTAACTTTTCGGTGCTTCTCGGGCTCAGGGAGGTTTCTCATCAGACAAGGCGCTTAACGCGGAGAACGACCAACGATCTACGTATGAAGTTTGTTCCATATATTAAGTTATACGAAAACTTCAATAACGTGATTTAGGATACATTGTTGTTCAGTCCGTTTATGATATTGTGGCGTGATTACAGCGTCTACATCAGCATCACATTGTAATGGATTGAATTTCTTAATGGTTACTGGTATTACCTTGAAATTTGGTCATTACGTTGAGAATGAGATTAGATAGCAAAAGTCATTATGACGAATTTATGCTGTAGCCATTATCATCTCTTCTTCAAGGAGTTTTTGATGGTCACCGCTCAAATTAAGTGTAAACTTTGTGATGGGGTAAATAATACAAACATGTTAGTTGTATTATTTATCCAATCTTTCATTTTTTAACAGTTACTGATATTGTCTTGGAAGGTATGGATACCGATATTGGATGAAAAAGTTTACTATAGTGATGAGCTGATACTGTAGCCAGAATCGTCTACAATCTAATCCATCATGGGTTTAAAATGGAATTCTTTGACAGAATATTGACTTTAAATTTGATGGAACTAGGTAAGAGCATTGAACGTTTATTTTTAGTGTTTTTTTTAGATATGAAATAACGATGACCTGACGATGTAGCTAGGTTCGCTACCTATCAAACACCATGCTATCCTACAAAATTCTTAAAAGCCATTGCGACTGTCATCAAATTAAGAAAACATGTTGAGCCTGATCAAAAAATCTTAATCATGACGATGACCTTATTCTCTGACTAGGATCTTTGCCTCATGCGAAAATCCTTAATGGTTAGTAGTATCGTCTTGATTTTTTTTTATATCTTAGTAGGTACCAGTTGTCTCAATCTTTTGATGCTGCTTCACGAAACCGGTCTGAGATTCGTGCGTTTCAATAGAGAGATTAGCTTAAAATCAAGAAGGTATCTTGATTTTAAACTAATCTATCATATATCTATAATTTCTAAAAAACCTACTTAAAAATATTATTTGCATTTCAAATTGTATTTATATTGTTATTTTAGATATTAAGATTAAAATGAGTAAACATCAAATCCTAGAATGATATACATATTGTATAAGAGACATCAAATAATTCTTTTTTTATCATTGTTTCATAATTTGACAGTTCTGACTTGATTATCACGTTATCAAATGAAAATTCCAATAGAGCAATGACAACTTTACCGATATCGTTAAGCTGAAAAATAGGAATTTTGACTAAGTGTATGGATCATCGATACGAGTACATGTAGAAATATATAAAATTCGGTGGGGTTAGAACGAGGGATATTTTTAACTACTTAGTATTGAAAACAAGCGTTGTATCTATTCATACGACACACACACACACACACACACACACACACACATATATATATATATATATATATATATATATATATATATAGACAAACATTTCAATTAAAACTTTAGTGATTTAATACCTACCAATGCTTTAGAGAAAATGCAATTCTTATTTTGTGACTGGGCTTTAACTTTTTGGAATAAAAGTAAAAAGTAAAGTTACAGCCTATAATACGTCCCACTGCTGGGCACAGGCCTCCTCTCATTTCTGAGGGCAAGGAAGTGTCCGCCGCGCTGCCCCAATGCGTGTTCGCGAACGTCACATGTCTTCGAAATATTTTTTTTCTTATTCCTCAGACATGCAGGTTTCCTCACGATTTTTCCTTCACCGCCGAGCACGTGGTAAATCAGCACTTAAAATTGCAATTAACAATTTCATTGGTGCCGGCGGGGATCGAACCCGGGTTACTCGCAATCTGTTATAATTACTTCTACTATCTGAGCTACCACGGCACTTTTTAGAATGTTTCTTCTATATTCGTTGAAGCATGTGCCCATGTCACAAATGATGATTGGGCAAAAGTGGTGGAAAATACAAAAAAAAAACAAGATTATGGATGACTTTGAAAAAGACATTAATTTTGACTGCATTATTGAAAATCAAATAATAATTAATCTAAACAACGACAGCTCAAATAGGTAACTGACAGTGATTGAATAAATTTATTTTTAATCTAGTTTCAGCCTTAAATTTTTATAACTTTGCCTTTAGAAATAAACAGCAACAACAAATACGAAGAAACTGATAAATCTTGTATTTTAATTATACGTTTTTAATTTATTCTGGTATTATTCAAACCAAACTGTAAAATACTAACTCTAAATAATCGATATCGATTTTTTTTTGAGAATCGAATATTGTACGTTCCCAATTTTTTGGTTGGCATGCTTGGTGCAATAAGTCTGACAGCTGTCAAAACGTATTTCTTAGATTTGGTTGACTATAATGATTGCATAAATTTGTTTGCTTTTTTTTCTTAATACGAGGGGCGTTCAATGTATTCTCGGTATGGGTATGTTAGAAGAAAGATAAAATTATGAAATATTTTTAAAGGAGATAAACGAAATTGGGTGCTAGACATCGTTCCGAAAAGTTATACAAAAATATGTAGGTAATAAAACGATAAATTATAAGCATAATTAAATGATTTTTATTTACGTTGTGTTATTTCCGTAAAAAATTTTTTAACTGAAAACCCAAAGCTAATGCTTTTACTATAGCAAGAACGAAACGTTTTTAATTTTTTAAATTAAGAATTTTGGCTTGGACGCTTGTCATTTAAGCTTTGCCTTCATTTCATTCAGGATCTTTGTTCGTGCCGACACGCGTGGACGAAAAGGGGGAAAAAATATCAATCTTGACTTTGGACTTTCGACCATCTAGTATCGAACAGAAGAATTAAGCTTTCTGGAAGCCCCACACTCGAAATTTCTGCACCTGGTCGGTTGGCGCGCGTATTTACTTGAATATTCTGGACATTTCGGTGAAAAATGTGTATTTAAGCCGCTGCAAGCCGCGGTTGGGGCAGTATTGAATTTGGCGAGACAAGCGAAGTTTCGGAGCGAAATAAAGTGAATCAGTGTTATTAATTATTAGAGTCTTTTAAGTTTTAATTAGTGTAAAGTAAATTAAAGTGTTAATTTTGGTAATTCAATCGGCAGTTTTTATTGTCACGAACCCTAAGAAGTTTTTGG